TTCGTCATTCAAAATTAGTTTTTAACGAAAAATTTTCCTTGGCACTTTTTTTGATTCAATTAATTTATAAAGAAAAAAAAATTATATAAAAAAAAACAAGCACGTTAATTAATTATATCACCATCACCAACAACGAGATTTTCTTTCGTTAATATTACATATTACGCAATCCTTTCTACCTTAAAAATCAAAACTATAACAATAGCATAATAATTAACATGACAGTCGCGATTAATACAAAGGTCTTAAATAATTCTCAAAACCAGTTACAATTAATTCACGATAAATATGATGATAATTCTTTGTGGTCAAAAATAAGGTCATTAATTTTTCCTGAAATTGTAATTTATTTGTTTGTTTGTTTGTTTGTTTGTTTGTTTGTTTGTTTGTTTATTTGTAATAACAATTCACGATAATATAATAGAAAAGGAATTAGAAGGTTATAACAGACCGAAGTTTCATAATAATAGTATATAAACCACTTTGGTGGAATGGAAGCTTTCTTATGACGTGTATCATTAATTGAAAATCATACGGTTTTTGTCATTCTGGCGAGTTATATGGACATGTTGTAACAAGTGAAATAAATAATGTAACAGAAAATTATAGAATTCAAAAACTGGCAAATTAGTCAAAATTGTTGACGTCATAAAGAGGTTTTACATTGTATCCTGCATCCTTTTACATAATTAATATAGGATAATTGGAACCCCTAATTTAGTGACGAGTGTCTTGACTAAAGTTAACTTAACATATGACCAATAATTCTTCATTAGGATTACGCACTCGGCCCTCTCAATTGTTATTAGTAAGGAGACTAATTTTTTTGTCGGAAGAATGTGTACTTATGGATCAGAGGTTTGGTGTTACGGTTGTCTCATAAATAAAGGCTTCGGGGAATATTCTTCCCATGGTTTCTTTTGTCTTTTAACGGGTAATTTTACATGAATGAATTTTTCTCCTCAATGATGAGATGATTTTTCTCGTTCCATCGCTACTCATTAACTCGGCAGTAATTCCCAAGAATCTCTTTGACACTTCTTTCGGCCACGGCAAAGGCGTCATAACACATTGTTTTTGTTATTATGTTATAAATATTACAATATTCATATTGGATGTAAACATTAAGAGTTTGTGCTTCATTCAGGGAAATATATATATATATATTTCTTTTACTATTATTGTTATATTACTACCACTACAAATACACTTATAGAATGTCGAGTCCAGCCTTACTGTCACAGATTGTTACATACATTTCCAGTTCAACTCTTCCTCCAAAGAAATCCTTTTTTTGCGTCTCTCCTCTCTCTGTTCCCGACAGAATAGCAAACGTTCGCCTCTTATTGGGGTTCCACTACGAGGCATTCTCCAGCCGTGACCCGTGTTACTTTAATTGTGTTGGCATTCTAATTCGACATAGCGATATAATAATTTGATTTGTGCAGGTAAAACGCATTAGTATCTCTAAATAAATGTTAATATTTATTTATTTATTAATACCTCCGGAGCAGTGTTAGCAAATGGCCTTGTAATGACCTCTATTTTATTATAAATTTGACAAAGTAGGTCATTTGAAAAATAGCAAATAACCGTGTAGTTTGCCAACGCTAACTAACACACCCACTC